GTTGCTTTATATTGCAACCCAAGTCTGGAACAGCATTGATTCGCTTGCAACATGCACTGAATGCACGGAGTAACAAGAGGAGGGATGACAGCGGTTGTCGATTTATGGGAGGTGAATATATGTGGCTCATATCCAGCGTCTTTCGAAGTAAAAAATATGGGTTGTTGTGAAATAGGTTCAACTGCACTAGAGTGATAGACAAAGGAAGCGGAAAAAGTGGGTGATTTCGACGGTGACGATAAGACTAACGGAGAAACGGCAGTGGATAATGGAAGCGGAATTGTGGCAGATTTCTCAGTTTGTTTTGCGCATTTTTTAGGATCCATTTGTGGTACCTGTGCTACGCCAGTTCCAACTGGTGTTGATGCGGTTGGCGTTACTGTTGTGTGTGTTTGAATTTGGGCTATTTGCGGTTGCTGTATCATACTCTCGGATCTCATAGGTTCCGCGGTTGCAAATAAACATGCGTTTCCTAGCGTTGTCAGGGTCCTTGGTGTCGTCACTGTTGTTTGCGTCGTTTCTATCATTGTCAACGGCTTATTCATATTCATGTTTATTGATCTTAAGCAATTGTTCACCGTCATTCCAGTTCCTGATGCTTTTTCCAATTGAGTTGTTTGTATTTTCAATCGGGTTGTCACTGTTGATGATATTGTGTTTGATACAGGTGGATTTAATGTCGGTGTTATGTCTCCGATTGATTCCGTACATTGGGTTGATATCAGGTGTGACATCAGGGATGTGTGGCTCACAATCATCGTTGAAATTACTCTGGAGATCGTTGATGAACTTTCGGTTGTTTCTTGTGATTTTCCTGGCTTTGCACTTGGTAACGTTGTTGCTGCCGTTGCGAGTGATATTGGTAAAGCCGAAGTTTTTAAACTAGTTGTTATAGTTGTCATCGTGATAGTCTTTGTAGATACCACCACCGTCACTGCTGTCGATGCCACTGCCACTGTCGTTGTGACCACCACAGCATTCGTTGTCACCACAACCGTCGGCATCGCCACTGCAGCCGTCGTCGTCTTCCGCATGATGGTGCTTGACTTCGATGATTGGAATGCTAAATTCAATGACTCCGTTCCTTCCGATATTTGTACACGTCCCGTCGAAGTGATCTCCTCAGATGATTCTGTGCACTGTTTGGGTAGTATTTGAGAATGCTGTGTCTGATCTATCCATAT